TGGACTTCCCTTCCCCCGGCTGGCTTTGAACCGTGATCCTCAGATCTCAGCCTCCTGAGTAGCTAGGTTTAGAGGCGTGAGCCACCTGTGCCTAGCTGGGAGTGTATTTCTTTGCAAGGACTTGCTGGTGCGCTCCCTCTGGCCCCCTGTCACTGCTGACTTGAGTAGAGGCTCTGGATGCTGGATGCAGCTCCCCAGATGTGGAGCTGGACTGCCAGGCCCTTTCAGGGCTCTGCAAGCTGAGGTCTCTGTGCAGGACAAGGTAGGGCCCCCTGGGATCCAACCAATTAACATCAAGCTTGCCCTTCCCCTGAGCCCCTAGCTCTAGTTTTGTTTGTGTTTTGTATGTGGTGTGTGTGTGTGTGTATGTGTGTGTGTTGTGCTGCTACTGGGACTTGAACTCAGGGATCTCATACTCTTGCTTGTTTGTTTGTTTTATTCAATGCTGGCACTCTACCACTTGAACCACATTTCCACTTCCAGCATTTTTGCTGCTTAGTTGGACATAAGAGTCTTGTGGACTTTTCTGCCTGGAATGGCTTTGAACCTCAATCTTCAGATCTCAGCTTCCTGAGTAGCATGAGCAAATGACATGTAGCTAGCTTGAGTCTTTCCTGGCAGTGGGGCTTTGAGGGAGCCCCTCTGGGCTTAAAGGCCAGCTATCATTTCTGACCCTGCATGAGATCCTTGGAGACAGTGCTGAGAACCCCTATAACTCACAGTTTTCCTAATGCTCCTTCTCTTTTGGTGCTGGTACTGGGGCTTGAACTCAGGGTCTAGGAGCTGTCCTTTAGCTTTTTTTTGTCCAAAGCTGGAACTCTACCACTTGAGCCTTACCTCCTGTTAGGATTTTTGGTGGTTAATTGGAGATAAGAGTCTCACAGGGCTGGGAATGCAGCTGAGTGGTAGAGTGCTTGCCTAGCATGCATGAAGCCATGTGTTCAATTCCTCAGTACCACATAAACAGAAAAAGCTACACTGTGGCTCAAGTGGTAGAGTGCTATCCTTGGGCAAAAGAAGCTCAGGGACAGTGCCCCGGCCCTGAGTTCAAATCCCAGGATGGCAAAAAAAAAAGTCTTACAGACTTTTCTGCCTGAGTTGACTTTGAACTGTGTGTGATCTTCCAGTCTCAGCCTCCTGATTAACTTCATTCATAGGCCTGAGCCACCAGTGCCTAGCAATTCCCTCTTATGTACTTTATCTGAGATTCACTTTAGTGAGCAGTGTCCCTAGTCCACAAGGCTAGAATTTGGAAGCCATCCTTGCCCTTCTGTTTCCCTGCCCCCACCTCCACTGACCACTCATCCAGCAGTCTTCTGGGTCCCAATGGCTCTCCAGTGAGTTCCCCTCATCCCAGAGCCAGCCAATACTCCCAGAACATTTAAGCCAACTGCCACATGAGTGTGGGGACAACAGATCCTTTCTGTGGGATGGGATCAAATGCCTACATGAGAGCATGTGCAGCTGTACTCATGTGGATGAAGGCGGGATGTAGAGGGCAGCAGGAGGGCTCACCCACAGGAGGCCTCTGAGGGGCAAATCCAGGGAATCCAGGCCTCCAGTAAGCCTGGGAACACAGAGAGGAAAGCTCTGAATGGCTAAATCTGTTTCCCTCAGGGGCGAACTGAAAATAGCATGCAGGAAAAGTAAGTTCTTTGAATCTAAGTTTGAAAGCCAGGTGCAGGTGGCTCATACCTATTATAATCCTATGATCTGAATATCGTGGTACAAAGCTTGCCTGGGCAGTAAACTCCATGACATTTTTACCTCCAATTAACCAGCTAAAAGCCGCAAGTGGAGCTGTGGCTCATGTCAGAGCACTAAGCCTGAGTACAAGCCCCAGCGTTGGCACGAAAAACCTGGGTTTGAAAAAAACAAAACAAAACAAACAAAAAAAAACCTGGCGGGATCCTAGGCTTTAGTTCTGCCTTTGCATGCTTTGGTGAGTGGCCGTGGGCCATTTACTGCCCATCAGGGCTTCAGTTCCCTTGTGTCAGGCCTGTGATTCTAACTTCCCTGGCACTGTGGTTTTGGTCTGGCAAGGGTTTGATTTTTGTGAGGGAACTGACTTGGGGGTGGGGAGGAACTTGGGAAGGCCTGTTCACATCCTGCTTAGTGCCTATACCCTGGATGAGTAGGGGGTCAACAGGCGGCAGTGGAGCCAGAGCCAGGTAAGGGGGAACTGGAAGAGCAGGCGCCAGAACCCCCAGGACTTGGTGGGCGGTCAGCTGTGCTAGCACTGCCATCAGGGGCTGGTGAATGTGGAGGAGTGTGGGCCAGGTCCATCAACCCACACCTCCCTTGCAGCCTGGTGCTGGGCAGTGGGGGAAGGGGGTGTTGGAGAGGGTGGGGGTGGTACTATCAGGGAAAGGCCCAGATGAGCCAGGGGCCAGTGAGCAGAGCTTAAGCCTCCCTTTATTTATCTTGTAGCCAGCCAATAGGGTGCTTTGGGGTTCTTGTCCTGATTTCTTCCTACCTTACATTTCCCTAATCCCTCTTTTCCTTCTACCCCCTCTGAGGCTTTTCCTCCCTGTCCTGCTGTCTCTCTTTTTCTCCCAGGCTCAGCTCCAGCTGTTGACTCAGTGGTCTGACTAGAGGAGGGAAAGGAGCCAGGGGGCTGGTTTGAATTCTGTGCCAACTGCCTTCCTAAACTCTACAGGGAGCCTCCGTGTCTGTCCTTCACTAAGTCTAGACTTCAGCCCTAGGAGTCCAGACAAAATCCCTCCTAGACACTACCATGGTGACCCAGGAGACATCAGCTCACCTCCTGGGAAAGAAGGCTGGGTTCCTCTGCCCTTCACTGGTCCAGGTACCTGCCAGGTATGCAACAGCTGCTCAGGCCCTCCCAAGACTTCTCCCCTCTCTTCTTGGGTCCTACAAAGGAAAAGACTATGCTTTTTTCTCTCTGAAACTCAGCTTTCTTAACTCTAGGCTCTGTGCTCAGACACTATATGTACTTCCTGGGGTAAAAGTGGCTGCAGAGGTCTCTCTCAAGGTCTCTATCAAAGATTCTAACAGGAGAAAGAGTGTGGAGAGTGTTTTGGCTCACCTAGCCCAGACAGCGACTTGGAATATACATGTGTGTACGCGCGCGCACACACATATACACACACACACACAGACAAGCAGCATACACGCCTCTTGGCACTTGACTTTCTCATGAAATAATTGCTGGAAGGCTCCTTGGATTAGGTAAGCCAGTGTTCCTTCCTGTCCCCACTGTGGGGAGGGATCAGCAGTTCGCATCTGTTAGACTGATCCAGCCCCTCTGGGCAGGGAAGGCCAGTCCAGGAGGGTCTATGGGCTCCAGATACCCTTGGAAGCTGAATGCTGCTGTGGGAACAAGCCTCTTAGCCTTCTTCCTGTGGTCCATCTGGCTGTGCCTGTTCAGTCTCTCAGCCTCCTTCAGCTGTTCAGGCCTAGGAAAGTGCAGGCCAATTAAGAAAGCCTTTTTGCACAAAAGGATCAGATGTTCTTATTTTTATTTTAAATATGTTGTATGACAATGTCCATCTTTCTAAAGTAATATGTGTTTCCATCTGTCCATTTTCTTATGTTGGCTGGGTTTGTTGTGGGGAGGGGAGGGAGGTGGCTGGAGTGGGGAGCACTATCTAGGATTAAGAATAAGAAGCATTAAAGGGAATAAAAGATGGGATCTCCACTTGTTGATAGACACTAGTGACAGGGGGAGGGTATGTGGTTTATCCAAAGTTGTACTTGCAGTATTTGGACATTCTTCCTTAAATACACCCTTTCCTCACATCCACTCTCAACTCCCCCCCCCCCTTCTTTTGGTCAGTTATGGGCTTGATTTCAGGGCCTAGGCACTGTCACTCAAGGCCAGCACTCTACCATTTTGAACTACAGCACCACTTTGGCTTTCTGGTGATTCATTGGAGATGAAGAGTCTCATGAACTTTCCTGCCCAGGGCTGGCTTTGAACTGCGGATCCTCAGATCTCAGCCTTCAGAGTAGCTAGACTTACAGGTGTGAGCCACCAGCGCCCACAAAAGGGCCCGCTGGTGAGTGAGCCTGGATCCCTTACTGACTATTCATGAGAAGAGTGTGCATATCCTGTCGCTGATGGACACTGGTGGCTCACACTTGCTTATCCTAGCTCTTCGGGTGGCTGAGATCTGAGGATCCAGGTTGGAATCCAGCCACAGCAGGAAATTCAAATGACTCTGATGTCCAATTAGCTAGCAAAAAGCCAGAGGTGGAGGCGTGGCTCAAGTGATAGAGCTCCGAGTGTTCTCTCTGGCTCTACTCCCCATCCCCCTCCCTACAGAGTAGGGCTAGGAGAGGGGAGCACATACTTGCAGAGACTGGCAGGGACTTTACCATCTGTCTCCTCTCTGGGGTCTTTTAACAGGTGCAAGAAATTCCAGGCGAAGGTCTCAGGTCTCAGGTCTCGCTGGGGAGGCGAGTACGTGTATGTGAGAACCAGATGCCGCTGAGGCTGCGCTCGTGGGGACCTGAACGGTGCAGATCTCCACTCCCACAGGACCCATGCCCCTACCCACGCTTTACCCCTCTGCTGTGATCCTCAAAGTCCGCTTGAGGGCCTGAGCCTTCTTCCGGTGAGGGCTCGGAGCTCTCCACGCCCACCGCGGGTCACTTCTCGGCACCCTTGGAGAGGAGCGGAGGGGTGGGGGGGTGGGCGGAGGGCGAGCTCCATCTCCGCCTCCTTGGCCCCGCACGTCCCGCTCCGTCCCTGCAGGTCTTCAGGGGCGGGAGTGGGGGGGGGGTCCCGGGTTAGGAGGGGATCCCAGGCCCGGTTGGGTCCCGGGCCGGGCTGGGTCCCGCCCCCGCGGCCACGCCCCCCGCGCGGCGCCCAGTCCTGGGACGAGCGGGCTCGCCCCGCCCCGCGCCCGCCCCTCCGGCCGCCCCTCGGGCTAAGCCGGGCGGCGGGGGGGACAGGCGAGGCACTGAGTGGTGGATCTCGGATTCTCTCCCTCCGTCCTGCAGCCGGCTCTGCGCTCGGTGCGCCCTGCTTGGCCATGGAGCCTACCCCGGATGCCGAGGAGGCGCGCGGCGTGCGCGAGGCCCTGGGCCGCTACGAGGCGGCGCTGGAGGGCGCGGTGCGCGCGCTGCACGAGGACATGCAGGGGCTGCAGCGCGGCGTGGAGCGGCGCGTGGCCGAGGCGCTGCGCCTGGCCGCGCCCCTGGCGCGCACCGTGGCCGAGCTGCAGCGGGACAACCAGCGGCTGCAGGCGCAGCTCGAGCGCTTGACGCGCCAGGTGGAGGCGCTGGGCTTGGCGACCGGGCTGTCTCCCGCGCCCGGCACTTCCAGCCCCCCGCCCGCGTCCGGGGCTCCGGATCGCGCACCTCGTCTGGGCACCGCCCGCTTCGCCAGCCACGCCACCTTCTCGCTGTCCGGCCGCAGTCAGGTGAGTCCTGGGGCAGCGCGGCCCGTCGGGGCGAAGGCGGTTGCGCGGGCACTGAGGAGGGTAGCCCGATGCCCGGGCGCCCCACCGCCCCGCGTGCGTGCGTGCGTGCGTGCGCGCGCGCGCTCGCTGCGGTTCTCTGGAACCGGGATTGTACCTCCACCTGCTGCTGGGATTCGGTAAAGGGGTCCCACTACTAAAGTGTCAGACAAGGCAGGAGAAGCAACTTCATAGCCAGCCCTTCCCTTCCCTGCACCTGTCTCTCACCCCCTCCCTGCAATTTTTTTTTTTTTTTTGAGCTGGGTCCTGTGTGCTGAGTAGAACATCTCCCTTTCCCTTGTCCATGACAGTAAGATCTTGGAGGCTGAGCTCTGTATTCAGCCTGGGGCCTCGTCCACATGTTGGAATGGGTTAGCACCCCCTCCAACCCCAGCCAACCTCTCCATCTTCATTCCGATACCCAACATTGCTGCCTCACCGAGGCCTGACCGTTCAGGTTATAGATTAACCGGGACTGAGAACTCAAGCCCCTGTGTGTGAATGGGGGTGGGGTAGGGGTGGGGGTGGGGTGGGTTAAGGGATGTAGTCTGGGAGAGGGTGCTGAGCAGCTGCTTTCGGGAACTGACATTCCAGGGGGGCAAATCCTTTACCGCGAAGGGAGAGAGAGGAACTGGCCGTAGCTAGTGTCTAGATTTCTGGGGTCAGTGGCTGGCCAGAGGCTGGTGTGGACCAGTCTGAGCATGGGCCTCCTTTGGTGTGGCAGGGCCTGGTTAGAATGCTTCCATGGTGTGTGCATGTCAGGGGGATGCACCCTCCTGACCAGCCATGTGCTCTGAGGCAGGAAGTCTGCACCACTGACCCCCTTACCCAGGTGCCCTAGTGAGGGTTGAGATGGCCCCAGGCTGAGCAACGCCAACACTTTGAGTAGATGTTGTGTTGGGTAGATGTTGTGTTCCAAACCAAGCAGACACTTTCCCAGTGGATAACCAAGGAGGGCTTGTGCTGGAGGCCCAGGGCTTAGTGCTGTAAGTTTGTGCAGCTTCAGAATAACCATAAATTAGAACTAGCAAGGGCGGAGCCTGCAGGCCTGGGAGTGGAGGCTGAGTTGTGAAGGCTGCCTGGCTGCTTTTGTCCTGGGACACCCAGGACTCCATGTGACATGTCGGGAAACACACTGACATGTGTCCCATGAGTGTGAGAGTCTATATGCTTCTGGTGTAAAATTGCCACTGTGAGCTCATACGTGCTTAATAAGCAGTGTCATGGGTTTCTGAAGTTTTATTTTAAACACATTTGCTTCTTGTTTGCTCAAGGAAACAGCTGTCTGAGCTCTTAAGAAAAATAATCTCAGAATTGTACACACACACACACACACACACACACACACACACACACACACACAATCCTTTCCAGTTGTGGCTTTTTTTTTTCAGTGGGAATTTGCCATTATTCATCCAGGCTGAGGGAAGGGGCAGGGTGCCATCCTCAGCGATGACTGGATGGGCAGAGGATGAATGGAGGTGAGCTACTTAGTTGTGATGGACCAAGTAGGAAAGAAGGATCTGAGCTAGAGCTGTGTGTGTGTGATGAGGCAGTCTGGACAGGGGATTGAGAGGATGCTGGCAGGGACTTTGGCCATGAGAATGGAGGCAGAGAGAAGAACCATGCCCTGGGGCATCATTGGATTACAGTCAGGTCAGGTTAGGCCTGTCTTCGGGGTCCGCGAGATATCCAGGTAAAGTTGTCCCAGACAGGTGGATTCTTGGGTCAGGGGGTCTAGAGAGTGGTCGGAGCTGGAGGTGAGGGGTTGTTTGAGCACAGCTATCAGCCCAGGTTATAGACAAGGTGTGATCTTGAGCATAATTGCTGAGAAGGAGCCCTGGGCAGAGGCAGGAGAGTTCGAAAGAAACAAAAACCAGGCCAAAGAACTTTCAGGGCTGAAGAGAATCCAAAGAGCCCATTAAGAAATCCAGAGTGGGGGAACTTCTGGAAGAACAGATTGGGGATAGCAGCCTGTTGGGACCAAGGATAGAGGCCCAGCGTGGGGGTAGGCTGAGTATTTCAGAAGTGTTAATAGCCAAGCATAGTCAAGAGTTGTGGGTAAGGGGTAGACCAGAGGCTGTGCTACCCTTGAGCCCTAGCTCCTGGGCCTGGGGCAGCTCCCATGTGCTTGACCCCACAAGCCTTGGTCAGTCTACCCTCACAGGAGTGCTACCACATGCTCCGAGCTGTCTTCTGCTGGTGTGAGGGCCCCCATGAGCCCTGGGCATGATCCAGCTCCTGTGGCCTGTGTGGCTGTGTGTGTGTGATGAGGCAGTCTGGACAGGGGATTGAGAGGATGCTGGCAGGGACTTTGGCCATGAGAATGGAGGCAGAGAGAAGAACCATGCCCTGGGGCATCATTGGATTACAGTCAGGTCAGGTTAGGCCTGTCTTCGGGGTCCGCGAGATATCCACCAGCAAGTGGCCTGTGATCAGGATTAGTCACAAACCAGGAATCAGGGCTTCTGGGCCAAACTGGCCAGAAACAAAGCTGGGTGCTGGAATACTGGTTGTCTGTGGCATGGATCTGGATGTAAGGGTCTCATCGTGTGGCCACAAGCGGGTGGTTTGTGGTTAGGCCTGGTGGAAGCTGGTGTACTTCCTGTCCCGGAGCTGGGTAGACCTCAGCATATAAATGTGCCCTGATCTCCATGCAGATGGGCTGGATCAAGCAAGCCACTTCTGAATACACAAACCTTGAACTTGCTGTAGCAGGGTTCAACATGGGCCTAGATGGCAGAGAGGATGGTCAGGGAAGCCAGGGAGGGAGGAGGACAGAGAAGAGGGAGGAGAATAATTGGGGAAGACTCCCAGCAGGAGGCCTGAAACGCTGAAGTAGACAAACAGGTGGTTTTTCAGAGGCATCTCCTTTTAGCTAGGCCTGGATTTCTTTGGATCTAAACCAAGGGAGCTTGGCCTACGCCTGTTGGGCCTCATATACAGAGCAGACTGGGTACTTTGTGTCCAATTGACCTGGTTAATGAAAGCATCCAGAACCATTGCTGGTGTCTGGCCTGGAGGAGGGAGGAGGGGAACCACAGTGGGCTGGGCACCGGCCGGGAGTGGAGTGGAGGGCAGACACCCGAGGTCAGGTCCAGCCTCAGGACTAAGAGCCTGGCCCAGAATTGTTCCCTGGAAATGTTATCCTAGGCTAAGCTAAAGCTGCTGGGTCCCCGTGGCCAGGCAGCACAATCCCTCAGGAGCCACTGCCAGGAGCCAGTGTCAGAGGCCTGACCATGAGAGAAACCAGACTCGGCTTATCTGCCTGCCTTTCCCAGAGGCAGTGTGATAAGGGAGTTGGATCCTGTGGGGAGAAGCTTGGATGAAGGCCTTAAAGCTGTGATGTGAGTGGAGACTGGCTGGGCAGCTGTGTCAAGCATTAAAGGAAGGAGGTTTAGCCCACATGGGCTCTGGGGAGCACACACATGGACAAAAGTCCCAAGACATCCTTCCATAGCCCACAAAAATATTTGCAAGTTCCCTCAGGGAGAGGGTCCCACCTGCCTGAGTCCCTGAAATCAGACTTCTCTCATCCCCCAATTTTGCCTCTCTACCCGCCCCCCATTAGTTCCCAGACCTGGCTCTCTTACAGGCCTGCTGTCCCTTCCTACAACACAGAAGTGGGACATTTGGTCTTCAGCTCTGTCCCTCACCTTCAGGGCTGTATGGTGATTTCTCCTTCCTGAGTCCCACCTGACGGCTAGGCTAGGCTAGGCTATCCCACCACACAAAGATAATGGCCCTCTGGGGAGCATGCCAGAGGTCCCCCCTAGAATGGGCCTAGGACTGGGACCATTGCTTACTTAGCCTTTGCTTTCAGGGCTCTGTGTTAGTTGAAGACCCCCTCCCCCTCCCCAGGTCTCACGCTTGTTCCTCCCTGCCGGGGCCTGGAGGGTGATCTCAGAATAGTCTCTTGACCTGAGGCATGGGCACAGCCCCTTCCCCATGTGAGAGGGGGTTGGACTCAGCTCCACACCCGTGGCTGCTGCTGCTATCGCTCCTGCCTCACCTGAGACCCCTTAGCAGGAAGCAAGCTAATGCAGAGGTGCAGAACTTCCTTCCCACCTGCCCCTCTGCTCCCAGAGAGCACCATGGGGGAGGCGGGGCCTTCAGCATGTAGTGACAAGCATGTGGGGGGACCCCTCACTGACACCTACATTCCTGGGGAAAAAATGATTTCAACACCGGTCTGTACCTCTGAGGCCCCTGCCTGGACCTGTGGAACCTGTTGGGCCAGCGTGGGATGGGTGAGGGGACGTGGAGACCCCAGAGAAGAGAGGCCCAGGTGACACCAGGAGCTGGGGTTCTGGCTGGACTGACTGGTTTTCCTCTGGCTTGGGCTTCAGACCTCTAGGGGAGTCCTCTCAGGGAGCACAGGAGACACCTTACCTTTATGCAGGGGTCCTGTAGTCTTGAGAGTAGGCGGGCCTGTTCATTCTCCTCCACCCTCCTGAAGTTGAAGGACTGCCCTGGCCCTGTCTTCTGTCACCTCCCCAGGGTTCCACCCTGTGGATGGGTCCTCCTCTCGGCCTGGCACTGTGGGCTTTCTAGCTGGAGAAACCGTTGAGACCCCTTTTCTGGCTTCCCTCCCATGGCCAGCATGAGGGCAGCTGGAGAAGTGTCTGCAGTCCAGGCTGCTGGCTCCTTCCCCTGTTTCTCCAGCACGCCTCTAGTTCTGTTTTTACATCCATTGCCAGTGACCTCTTCTTGGCTAAACACAATGGACATGTCTTCCATCCCATCTTGACCACCTCATCCCTGACCTTACACCACCTTTGGATATGTTGGTGTTCCGGCTTCCCTCCCTGGTCTCTTCTCTTGCTGTGTTTCTCCCTATCTTGTTGGCTGCTGCTGCTGCTGCTGACTCCTTGTGTATGCCCATCCTGCTTCCTGAGATAGCAGGGCGCCCTGGCCCCTGATCCATGCTGAGGGCTTTCAGGAGTCTATGAGAGCTGGGACTGTTTGCACCAGCTTTCCTTTGTACTCATGCTAGCTACCTCCTCAGTCCTATACCCATCTCATCTAAAATGGGAATCCTTGTTTCTCCCCCAAGCCTTGCCAGTCATTCACACCCCAAGCCTCAGTATCCTTTCCCCTGCTCTGTTTGTTCACCCTTTTATCCAGATTCCTTTTCCCTCAAAGCTCTGGAGTCCTTGCCCTTGGCCCTTCCACATCCATGCACCATATCCCCTCCCCACTTCTCCACCAGGGCCTATGGAGTTGATTTGCCACCTGATCTCCTCCTTTCACACAACTCTGGCCAGCATTTGAAGAGTGTGTCTAACACACACCATAGGCTCCTTGTCTAAGGTCAAGTTCCAGTACTCCAGGCCAGCAGTGTGGGCTGCAGGATCATCCAGCTCACAATGTTTGAGCCGTGATGGCTTTGCTTTGGTGACCCTCAGTCACCCTCTGGGACTGGCTCACTCTGTATGTGGCTCAGGCAGCCCTGCTTCTGGGTGCCTTCCCTGCCCTTCTGAACTGAAGTCTGCCTTAAGCATCCTCATGCTAGTCTGGTACCACTGACTGTGCTACCCACTGGCCTGATTCCCCCTGATGCAGGCTGCAAGAGGACCTGAGCCACCTGATACTGGAGATAAACTGTTGTCTGGGAAGCTAGGAGACCAGGAAATATTCTGGAGATGCCTGGGGGAGGGGCACAGCTGGCCCTTCAAGCCACTCACCGTGGCCTGTTACCAAAGTCTGGTTAGGATCTGCCTCTGGCCCCTCTTGCCAGACTGACCACTCCTCCCAACCCCCGCTCTGAGCCCTCTGCCTCTTTGGGAGGAGGCAGAACCCAGGGAGAGGAAGGCTTGCCCTCTGGCCATTATCCTGGCTGTTTTCACTGGACATCTCTGGCTGCGTATGACTCCCCTGAACCCCAGGTTCCATCCGAGAGAGGGTTCTGATGAGTTTAGTAGATACTCAGATAGCACTTTCCTAACTTTCTGTGGCTCTCAGACTCAGAGGGGACAGGAGGTGGCTCCATCAACCCTGGGATCCCAGAAGATCCCAGCCCCCACCTTGCTCTTTGTTCTCTCTGCTTGCCTCCTGCTGGCCCCCACCTCCGGGTGTACCCCTGGTGGGATGCAGGGGTGGCAGGAATGCAACCAGACCCCTGTAGTCTGGGGGAATCTTGTATTCTTGTATTCAGGACAAAGTTTCTGCTCTTGTGGGGGCAGCCCTGACTACAGAGAGGAGCAAGGGCCATAGTCGCCTGACCTGTTGTCTGGCTCAGCCTGCAAAAAGGAATGGAGTCACCTAACTCACTGCTGCAGTCAGAGCCCCAATCTCATCTCTGTCCTTGGCTTTAGTGGGCTCTGGGATGAACTCAGTAAAGGTGTTTGTCCATCAGATCGCCCGTCTACTAGATGGGTTCCATTTCAGCTTGCTCCTCACCTTGGCTAGCACTATACTTCCTGGAGCTGTGTCCTGCCAACACGAGGAGGGGCTTTAGGAAGTGGTTTTGAGGTGGGTCCATGAATAGGGCCTCAGTTGTGATGATGTCTCTACAGAGTGTGGATCATGAAGAAATTGGTGAGCCAGAGGCAAGACGAGCGTCAGATTCCTGCATTATGGAGAATGGATACCAGCCAGCCGCAGGTAGGGGCCGAGGGAGGCATCTGGGTACCTTTGGGAGTCAGGGCCTTGCTGGGCCAAGCATCCTTAGGCTGGGGTGGGGCTTGAGGCTTAGCCCAATAGGCAAAGTGGCTGGCAGGGAGCCATTTCATTCAATGTATAGAGCTTTCCAAACACAGCGGGAAGTGAGAGCTCTGGGGTAGTTGTGAGCTTCCTGGTTTCTAGAGGAAAGCAAGCAATTGTCTAGGGCAGGGAGGCAGGTAGAGTGCACAGTCAACCAGTATTTATTGAGCTGGCTACAGGGGAGGTTTGAGAAGAATCAGTGTTGGTTAGAATAGCAAGACATCCCTAGTAAGGCAGGTCAGGGAGGCCGGGGTGGTGAGGGATGCCTTCCTGAGGAGGTGGGAGGAGGAGGCTCAGAGACAAGGAGACTTTTGGGGGTTCTGAGGCCCCTGTGGCTTCCCCAGCTGACCTTCCCCATGGGTCATACGTTCCAGGCCCAGGCGAGGGACCTCCAGAGTCTGCCCAGACCTCAGCACCAGAGTCCCCCAGGCCTCGTCCAGTGAGCCTCTCCTTACGGCTGCCTCACCAGCCAGTCATGGCTGTCACCCGTGTCTCTGAGAAGTTCTCTGGGGAGACGTCGGCTGCAGCTCTGTCACCCACCTCTGCTGCCACCCTAGGTTTCAGCCCCAGTCCCAGCGAGGTCACCGCCCTCTGGATCCCCAGTCCCACTGGTAGGAGCAGGAGAGGGTGGGCTGGGGGGCTGGAAGGGGACTCAGAAACTCAGGTCAGGTCCCTTCCTACCTCTGCCATCTGTCTGTCATGTCAAAAGGGACCTGCACTTTCCAGAGATGTCATGAATTGCATCACCTGTGGGGATGGTCATGGGGACTTCCCGCCCTGCAGCACCCCTCAGGGCTGATGTGGGCTTGCTCTTCCTCCCTGCTTCCTGCCACAGGCTGAGCAGGTGCCTGGAGAAGCCCGGGTGGGGGGCGGGGGGAGGCTTGAAAAGCCCGTGGGGGCTCTCTGTAATGCAGGCTCAGTGATTAGAGGCAGTGTTTGCTGGTCACACAGCATTGGAGGCCCTGGGCTCTGTACCCTCAAGGGCAGCATGGAAGGAGGACAGTTAAAGGGACTGTTGTGATGGCATCATTCAATTTCCCCATCCCACTTTCTCATCGTCATTTACCAAGGCAGAGCCAGCTTAGCCCAGCTTCTTGCTGGTCCACAGAGGGAGGCTGGGTAAATGAGGTAGGGCCGGGTAAAGGAAGGGAGGCTGAGGCCAGCCCCGTGTGAGAAGCCAAGTGTGTTCTTTCTGATCTCCTTTCATCCAGCAGAGAAGAATTCCTCTTTCACACGGTCATTGTCAAGCTCTGGGTATGGGGCAGTGACAGCTGGCAAGCACAAGGACAGGTGAGTCCCTGGCCTCTTTGCCCCAGCTGGGAGCCAGGGGCTGGGCCACCCCTGCTGGGAGCTCTGTGTGCTGACCCTCCTGGGTGGGTGTTCTGCAGAGCCAGGGCAGCTCTTGGCAGGTAGGGTGTGAGTCACTGGAGCAGTAAAGTGGCTGGGGGGCTCTGGAAGGGGGTTGTTTGGAGAAGCATGGCTGCAGTTTGACTTCTCTGTGGGCAAAGATTGGGGGTGTGTTTGGTCAGGTTCAGCCTTCATGGGAGGTGGGCAGGTAGAGGCACCTTCTCCCTTACTCTTCCTCTCTGCTTCCTGCCACGGGCTGAGCAGGTGCCTGAGAAGCCTGGAGGGAGAGGGGGCCCTGGGAAAGCCCATGGGGGCTCTCTGTAGTGCTGATCTCCTTTGGGATTGTGGGTGTCCTGCTTCCACAGGACTGCTAGACTCACTGGGAGTGGGGGTAGGTGGCAACCTTAGCATTTTTTTCCCCTTTAATAATAAAAGGATAATTGTCACTTCTTGGAAGATTGTTCTAGGGGGAGAACAAAAGGGGTCTTATCTCATGGTGGTGGGGAGGGGGGCTTGGTCCTGATGGTTGGTGGGGTACACCTCCTGCTTGAGAGGGTTTCCCTTATCCTCTCCAGGTATCGATACCCTCAAGGGCTGCTTATTCTCAGAGTGAGGGGCCCACTCTCCCTCCCAGTTGAGCCTGCTGGCCAGGCATGCTGCAAATAGTGGCTCTGTTCAGAAAACCTGCCAAGCAAGTTGGTGCCTGGAGCAGGTGGGCTTGCTGGCTGCCCGCTGCTCCACTCTCTCAGTGTCATGGTGCAGAATGCCTGCCTTGCTCTTGTTCAGTGCTGGGTTCAGCTCCCATAGAGGAGCTAGTAATACTAATCTCGATGTCTGTGTGTCTGACTCGGTGCTTCTCTCCTCTCCCCAGCCCTCCGTTGGTGACACCACCCCAGTCACCCCCCTCCCCGCAGCCACCAGCCATAACTCAGACCCTTCACTCAGGGGAGCGTCGTCGCGAGCTGGTGAGGTCTCAGACGCTGCCCCGCACCTCAGGAGCGCAGGCCCGGAAGGCACTGTTTGAAAAGTGGGAGCAGGAAACAGCTAGCAAGTATGGACACCTGCTCCCAGACCACATAGGGCCCAGGGGGGAGTGGTCTGGTGGTATTGCATCTCAAAGTTGAGCCCTACCGTCCCCCCTGGTGGGGGGCTGTCCCCAAGATCAGATCTCAAGGCCGGGGCTGTTTTACAGGGTGGGCTGGGGACTAGAGAGCCTCAGTGGTTGGGAAGAGAGGGCTGTGGGGCTAGAAGCCAGGCCAGGCCTGGTGAGAACCCTCCTCCCCCACTCAGAAGCACCCAGGATTTCTGCACCCCTAGTGGTCACAAGTAACTGCTATGCCTGAATTCCTCAGGGTGCGTTGCTCCTTTCTTTTCTGGGCAAGATTGGGGAGTCTGGCAGAGGGTTGGAGTTTCTGGCTGAGGGTGGGTTGGCCTAACTATTGGGCTTGACTTGTCTGGGGACTGAAGAGGTGGCATAGGGGACCCAGGATCCACGGGCCACTGCTGTGCTCTGTTAGTGATAGCCTTCCTGGCCCACTGGTGCCTATTTACCTAGTCTTCTTGTCAGAGCCCAGTATTGGTGCCTGCTGTGCAGAGTGTGGGTCATGCTTCTTTGATGATGATGATGATGGCTGATAACCAGTCCGTACTTGGCTTTAGTAAGGGAGTCAGACCCAGGAAGTCCCCACTGACCCAACAATTTGACCTTGGCTATCGGAAGTATCCTTGGGCCCTATGAGGAAGGCATCTCACCTTGCTAGGAAGTGTTACCAGAAAGAGACCCCCATCCCAGAAGGAGAGTGGGATGAAAGAAGGGGGGGGTCTAGGCAGAGGAGAGAGGGGATTGAGACCATTCTGCTCAAGTCCCGTCTTGGAATTATCCAGCAACCCCTGCTTCCCACTGTGGGCCAAACATAGGGGTGCTGGACAGCTGGAGGAGGCAGAAGGTCCTGCCAGATGCCATCTGAGGAGCTGTACAGCCGGTGCTATGCACTGATCCAGTATCTCCCTGGTGAGCAGACCAGAGGTATAGCAGCATGCCCCCTTTTGGCACTCACAGCATTCCTGCTTTCTCTCCACAGGGGCAAAGGGGAGACCCGAGCCAAGCTGAAGCGGTCACAGAGCTTTGGTGTGGCCAGTGCCAGCAGCATCAAGCAGATCCTGCTTGAGTGGTGTCGCAGCAAGACTCTGGGCTACCAGGTGAGCCCTGGCCCAGGCAGACAAGGCCCTGCCCCTTTCTTGGCCACCTGGCTGGGCAAGAGCTGGTGTAGGCTGGAGGGAGGGACAGGAGCCAGAGAACTAGTGTCCTTGGAGCACAGATCCCTAGTCACCTGCAGTATAACTTTAGAAATACTCAGAATTACCTGGGCACTCACTGGTGGCTCACCCCTGTAATCTTAGCTACTCAGGAGGCTAAGACAGGATCATGGTTTGAAGCCAACCTGGGCAGAGAAATCTATGAGACTCTTATCGCTGACTAACCAGCAAAAAAGCCAGAAGTAGAGGTGTGGCTCATGTGGTAGAGTGCCAGCCTTGAGTTGGAAAGCCAACTGAGAGCTTGAGGCCCTGAACTCAAGCCCTAGTACCTGTGAATGAATACACACACACACACACACACACACACAGAAAATTCAGAATTTGGATCTTGGGATCTATATGCAGACTCATCTTAGTGGTTAGGGTCTGGTTGCTGAGCAGGGCCGATGGCAGGTCTTGAGGAAGAGCTGGGAGAATCTACCTGCCTTGTGGGGTTGAATTGGATGGGAGGAGCAGGGGGGTTGGAGTTCCATCCCACTGACCTTCTTCCTCCTGCTTGCAGCATGTGGACCTGCAAAACTTCTCCTCTAGCTGGAGTGACGGGATGGCCTTCTGCGCCCTGGTGCACTCTTTCTTCCCCGATGCCTTCGATTATAATTCCCTGAGCCCCACGCAGCGTCAGAAGAACTTTGAGCTGGCCTTTACCATGGCTGAGTGAGTAGAGCAGGCCCTGCAGCCTACCAGCCTTAGCCTCAACTGGGAGCAAAACTCTGCCCCAGATGGGGGTCTGCGGAAGTGCTCAAGGACCTGAGGCCTTCAGGTCTGTTTTCTCCTTACACAGGTAAAAGATCAGGCCTGGCGATGGATTTGCCCAGGGTCACACAGCACCCTCAGCCTTGCCTACCCACTTCATTCCATTCCTGGCCCAACTACTTAGCCCAGCCTCCTTCTCCAGGCCCTGAGCTGAGCCAGAGAGGGAATTGAGCCAGCTTGGCTCATAACCTGTGCTTGTTACTGGAAGCTCATCTGGAGCCAAAGGGACGTACTCTCTGGGGCAGCAGAGCTTGTTCTGGGGACAGAATCAACTCTCTCCCTCTGAGCAACTTGGCCTGGGGTTTTGGAGCCTCGGCCCTCTTGTTTTGTTGTCTCGGCTGATGCATTCAGACTCTCAGCCCCTTTGGGGTCACAGACCTCCTTGTATACTTTATAAGCCTTCTCTTTCTTGGCTGCTTGGGCTAAGTTGTCATCTTGATAGCAGAAACAGCTTTGGATGAGTGTGTTACGCAACAAGCCAGACGGTGATGGAGTTGTGCCAAGTGTCGCAGCGTGATGTGGGGCGAGGGTGGCCCACAGGAGGAGGCCCAGCTGCTCAAAACCCAGGCATGGCCATCGTCCAAAATCAAACTGTTAGAATGTGTAGGGTTGGGGCTCCCACATAGGCTGCCCAAGACCCATTCCAGCTGGGGAGGGTGATGCTTGGCTTAGAGCTCTTCACTTGGGAGTCACTGCCAACTCATCATCTTGACCACCTTGGTCACTCTCAGCCCTAGACCCAGCTGGGTTGTGGCAGAGAGAGGGACACCCTGGGTCACAGGGTGGGGACTCCACGCCCCAGCTTGCAGGGAGAACAAGAGCCATCTCGGACTGTGCTTTCCCAGCAAGAGGTTGGAGTTCACAGAAGCCTCCAGACTTTTAAGCAGATGTTTCTTTGATTTCCAACCTGGGGGTGGCGAGGGGGTGGGGGTGGGGTTGGTCCATGGCCTTGCCTCCTCCTCTGCAGAGCAAACAGCAGGGTAAAAACCTTGGCCCTGCCTCCCTGTGGCCTGAGCCTGTTTCCAGCAGGGAGGGAGGCGGGCGTGAAGGGGCCTCCACAAAGTGTTCTGGCTTTTTTTTGCTGACTCGGGAGGGTAGGAGGGTGGGAGGGTAAGGAAGGGTGTCTGAGGCAGGCCTGTGTGGGGAGCTCGTTCAGAGCCGGGGACATGCCTCTGTTGATGAGTCATCTGTGAGATTACTGCTCAGGTACGTGAGGGAGCTGAGGGAGTCAAGGGAGCGGGCGGCCTCCAGGCCTGGGGGCCTCTTGGGAAAACAGCCTCTTGGATCTCCTAGTTTCTTGGAGACTGGATAGAAAAGATTTAAGAAAGCTCAGGAACACCTGCTTAAGGACATTGGCTGGGAGTGTTTGAGGTTTGCCAGCAACATCTGGGTAGTCACACAGGACTGTTGAAACCATCAAGAAGAGCTCTGCGGCTGAAAACAGAATGAAGAAAGGCAGGTTTTTGTTTCGTTTTGTTTTTGTGGGTCATGAGGCTTGAACTCGGGGCCTGGCCACTGTCCCTGAGCTTTTTCCCTCAAGGCTAGTGCTCTACCACTTGGAGCCACAGCGCCAATTCCAGTTTTCTGGTGGTTCGTTGGACATAAGAGTCTCAAAGACTTTCCTGCCTCTCTGGCTTTGAACCCCGATCTTCAAGTCTCAGCTACCTGAGTAGTTAGGATTACAGTCGTGAGTGACTGGTGCCCCCACAGAAAGGCAGTTTTGTTTTTTTTTTTGGGTCCGGTCATAGGGCCTGAACTCTGGGCTGGGGCGCTGTCCCTCAGCTCTTCAGCTCAAGGCGAGCGCTCTACCACTTGAGCCACAGCGCCACTTCTGGCTTTTTTCTTTTTGCTTATGTGGTGCTGAGGAATCGAACCCAGGGCCTCATGCATGCAAGGCAAGCGCTCTACCACTGAGCCACCTTCCCTGCCCAGAAAGGCAGGTTTGAGAGCAGTTTTGACAAGAGGAGTCTGGGGTCCTATCAAGCAAGACATGACTTTTAGAAGATAGGAAAACATGGTATTCACAAACCATGCATCTGGAAGGAAATATTTCTAGAACTGTCTGTGAGCAAATGCCTTTGAAGCACAAAGATTCATTTGGAAGGAAAGTTGTGTGTGCTGCCCATCCCCATAGTTTCTGGGCTCAGAGATTCCTTGTGGCCTAATCTGTGTGAGTGATGTGGTGCTGACAGCAGGGTGAGCTTCCCTTGCGTGACAGGTGTTCAGCGCTTGGAACGAGACTGGACCAGTCCCTTTTATGGAAGGGGCTGAGTGGAGCGGGCGCCTGACCCTTGTGCATCTTTTTTTCCCCCATCTCCAAGCAGAGCCGGAGCACAGGACGTGCGGCCCGAGGCTTCCCGCTTGCCCTGCCTGGAATGTGGCTTGCTCTCCGGTTACCCTCAGCAGAAGGGGCTCAAAGGCTATTTGTAGTGTCCATGTGTCTCTGTCTAAAACCAGACAGGAGGCAGCAGTCCGAGCTCTGGCATCCTGGACCACATTTAGAGCAAGCTTTAAAAAATAAAAATAACACCCTCCTACCCTTCCTTCGTGTCCCTTACGGGCTAGCCCAGGGCAGCCAAAGATGACAAGACATGGGGAGCCTTTAGGGTTCGCGACAGTAGGCTGTGTTACCCCTAGATCTGGCTGTCTGCTGGCATGGACGTGATTTGTTCTTTTTGGTTTGGACTTTTTCATGTAGTTTGAAGTATTTAAAAACAAGCTTGGAGCCAGGTGCTGGTGGCTCATGCCTGTAATCCTAGCTACTCAGGAGGCTGAAATCTGAGGATCGGGGTTCAAAGCCAGCCCAAGCAGGAACGTCCATGAGACTTATCTCCAGTAAACCGCCAGAAAACTGGAAGTTGCGTGGTGGCTCAAGTGGTAGAGTGCTAGCCTTGAATTGAAGAGCTGAGGGGCAGCGCCCAGGCCTAGAGTGCCAGCCCCACAACTGACAAAACAAACAAAAACAAAACAAGCTTGGATCATTTGTACAAAGACAGTTTTAAAAAAATGTATATAGGAATTGAGAGCTCTACTGTTTTGGTAAAAGTTGATGGTGACATCTGAGTCTTGATGGGTCACACCTGTAATCCTAGCAACTCAGGAAGCTGAGCTCTGAGTATTGACATTCAAAGTCAGCGGGGTGGAAAAGTCCCATTAACCAGCAAAAAGCCAAAGGTGAAGGTTTGTCTCAAGTGGTAGAGTGCCAGCCTTGAGTGAAAAAGACAAATGGGTGTGTAGGCCTCTCAAATTCAAGACCCAGTTACCCCGGCCTCCCCCACCCACCTCCACACACACACAGAATCAGTGGTGATGATCACTTCTCTTGGATCCTGTTTGAGTTCTGTTCAGCCTGAGGAATCTTGTCATCCTTGTGGCTAGCACCAGCATATCTCTGAGGGAATGCACGATTTCTGCAGGAGCAAGCTAGGCTGGAAGGCCAACGCCCCTACAGGTCTATTGTGGACTGTGTAATGGCCTTCAAGTCTGGGACGTTGTTCTGTTTGGTGGAGCATTTGGACCCTCCCAGGGGAAGAAGTGGGTGATGATGGGAGGTTGTATATGTGTGAGGTTGTATATGTGTGAGGGGAAGGAGGGTGTAGCTGAGACAGGGTGGCCACATGCTGAGACACCCTTCTCAAGACTTCATATACTTCTGTTCAACTTCAAAATGACAGTGGGGGAGGGCAGGGGCAGATGCATTGCAATTCAGTGTCTGATTGCCTGCTGGAAAGCCAGCATCTTGCCCTTGGATAGCTGGTTGGGCAGTGGAGGGTGGTTCCAGGGTGAGACCTTACTCTAATCTCTTTAAAAAAATTTATTGTTATTATAAAGGTGGACTCTTTTTTTGTTGTTCTTTCTCTTGTGTGTGCGTGCGTGCATGTGTGTGTGTATGTGTGTGTGTGTGCATGCGCCTGCGTGTGTGTGCGCATGCTTGAACTCAGGGCCTTACATTCTTGCTTTTTTTTTTTTTTCTGTTGGCACTCTACCACTTGAGCCATCCTTCCACTTCCAGCTTTTTCCTGATTAATTGAAGTTCAGAGTCTTGTAGGTTGTTCTAGCCAGGCTGGCTTCAAACCTTGATTGTCAGATCTCAGCCTCCTAACTAGCTAGAATTCTAGGTGAGAGTCATCAGCATCTACCGTGGAGAAAAGAAAAATTGACTCAGAACATTGTGGGACTGATAGGCAGAAAGTGCAAAAAAGCAAAAATGGTATAAGCAGCATAAAGAACAACTTTTGTCTCGGCCACGGCCTTCTTCAGAAGGGCTGGCATGGTCCTCAGGGCCTTTTCCTTTGATCCAATGGTGGGTGAGCCAGGCTTTGCAGAAGGCTGGCTTCTGATCAGGGGGGTTGGGCAGGGTACTGTTTGAGGTCTCTTCCAAAGCTGGGGTTCAGGAGTTCTAGGCTGTCAGCTGTGATGCCCAGGGCTCATGTGGAGCCTGTTCCCACACACCTGGGGTCCTCAAAAGAGAGGGTCTGGGAGTAGGGAAGAAGGGAGAGGAAGAGGTGGGTGACAGGTATCAGATGGCAAGCAATGGTTCTAAAAGGTGAACTGGGGTGGCCACAAAGCACCTTTTGCGTGCCTGTCCTGTCACAGGGCTCACTTCCCCGACGCAGAGCCTTGACTTGGCAGGTGCCAGAGAGAGAGGATGCCTGCTCACCAGCCAAGTGCACTCTTACCCCATGGAGCTTCTGGGTTCCCTTACATAGCTGCCTGCCCCAGCCTTGGGGGCAGGAGTGGGGGACTGGATCCGGGACAGGTGTCTCCATTTCACATTGACATTTGGTTTCTGATAGGAGGCCTGGCACTTGCCCAGCACCACAGAGCAGGGCCCAGGGGTAATGTTACAGTCTTTGTCTCTGGAGCACACAGCCCGGGGAGCTGCCCTGTGCTGTGTCCTGGAAGAGAGGCCAGTGGGGGTCATGTTGAACTGGCTGTGAGCTCTAGGGTGGGTAGGTCTGAGGTGGCTTGTCCCTCTGCTGGGCTCACTGGGGAACCAGGTGTGTAAGAACACATTGTGGCCGGGTGCTAGTGGCTCAGACCTGTATTCCTAGCTACTTAGGAGATGGAGATGTGAAGCTCACAGTTTGAAATCAGCTGGGCTAGAAAGTCTTTGACACCCTCATTTTCAATTAACTACCAAAAAGCCAGAAATGGAGCTGTGATTCAAGTGTTTAGAGCACTAGCCTTGAGCAAAAAAAAAAAAAAAACTCAGAGACAGTGCCCAGTCCCTGAGTTCAAGCTCTAGGATTGGCACATGTATACACAAACAAGAATGTATTTTGGGAGCCATAGCCTCCCAACAGACCCACTGGAAGGGAGAGCAAAGAAGCATTTCTCCATTTTATCTCCACTAACCACTGAAACACAGAAAAGTGGAGATGTAGCTCAAGTGGTAGAATGCCAGCCTTGAGCTAAAAAGCAAAGGTAGAGTGTCCTGGCCCTGAGAATAAGCCCTGGTACCAACACACACACACACACACACACACACACACACACACACACACACACACACACACACACACACACACACACACACACACACACAGTCTCTAGATTTATTTAATATTTGGTGGTACCGAGGATTGAACACTTGCTATAATAGTCTTCTACCACTTGAGCTAAGTCCCCTCTTTTTTATTGTTTTGACACAGGGCCTCACTATGTAGCCTAGGCTAGCCTTGAAGTCACCAACCTCCTACCTCTGCCTCCACAGTGCTAGGATGCAGGTATCATCTCCGTGCCAGGCCCTTAGGTTATTTATAACATCTAGTACGATGTAAGTGCCATGTGACTATTTGCCCTATTTTGTTTGGGGAATAAAGGGAAGAAAAGCAAGCATATCTGTTTGATATAGGTACAGTCGTTTTTTTTCCCCCTTATTTTCAACCCAAGTTTGAATCCATGGCTGTGGTCATAGAGGGCAGACTCTGTGTGTGTGTGTGTGTGTGTGTGTGTGTGTGTGTGTCCTGAGTCGTGATGAAAATTATCTGTCTTTACTATATAGGTCACAGTATTAAAGTGTTTAAAAACACTGTTGCAGGAGGCAAATGGGTGAATTTATATTTTCCTTCAGTTTACATTTATTTTTATAGTTCATGCTCATTTCTGACATTCCAATACATATTCACATGCATTTAAATTGTGTGTGTGTGTGTGTGAGTGTGCCAGTCCTGGGGCTTTAACTCAGGGCCTGAAGAACCCTAAGTGAAGAGTTCCTATATTTAAAGGGGAGCTTCACTAAACCTCACCTCTGTCCGGTGATGCCTGAGCATTTTTTCTTATTCAAGGCTAACACTCTATTTGAGCTATGGCTCCACTTCTGCCTTTTTGGTGATTAATTGGAGATAAGAGTCTGAGAGATTTTTCCTGCTTTCAGGTGGTTTCAGACTATGATCCTCAGATCTCAGCCTCTTGAGTAGCTTGGATTGCAGGTGTGAGCCACCGTGCCTGGCTTGTTTGCATTTAATCCACACTGATAGACAATGCCTCTGAAGGTTCTTGGGGTCTGGGGGGAAGGCATCTGAGCTCCCTGTGTGTACGGAACACTTCTGGCCCCAGGCTGAGTCCTACAGCGTGCTACCTCGAGTTCTGATGGACGCTTCTGTGTTTCAGGAATCTGGCCAACTGTGAACGCCTCATTGAAGTGGAGGACATGATGGTGATGGGCCGCAAGCCAGACCCTATGTGTGTCTTCACCTACGTCCAGTCACTGTACAATCACCTGCGTCGCTTCGAGTGAAAGCCCAGGAGACTGTGAGGCCGCCATACCCCCTCCCCCCCTGCCAGGATGGCCCTCCCCCAGGAAGAAGAGCTGCTGAGGGTCTGAGCTCACTGTGGATCCCAGGAGCCCCTCACACCAGCTGTGTTACTGATTAAAAGCCCCACTGATCTGAGTCGACAGTGCTGTCACAGCCAAGGGCTTGCAGGAAAAGGCAAAACTCCCAAAGAGAGACAACGGTGCTAAATAATGATCTTAAGGAAAAATGATGTTTGCCTGTGTCGATTCAGGAAAGCTAAGTTACTGTTTCCCTCTGGTGATTTGATACTTTGGCTTGACAGGGTTCCATTGATTACCAAGTATTGTTGTTGTTGTTTTTAATCAAAATGCCCTGCGCATTCTACGTCGTCACATTATTGTAGGCAGGTCCCTCTCCTCCTTCCCTCTGGGTCACAGCCAGGAAACAGACTGCTTCATCAGCAGAGGTGACAAGAAGAGCCAAGGCTGGGGAAGAAACAGTTGAATCACACCCAGGTCCTGGGCAGTGGATGACCTTCAAGACACCTCTATTCTGGGGGGACATTGGGGAGGCTCTTGCCTAGGTCCTAAAGGGCTCCTGTCCTTCCCAGCGGTCCCACGAGCATTTAGATACACACAGGCTCTCTGGAAGTTAACACTCTCTAGAACTGAACCATGGAACTGAGACCTACCTACCTTCCTTCCTTCCTTCCTTGCTTCCTTCCTTCCTTCCTTCCTTCCTTCCTTCCTTCCTTCCTTCCTTCCTTCCTTCCTTCCTTCCTTCCTTCCTTCCTTCCTTCCTTACCTTCTTTCTTTCTTTCTTTCTTTCTTTCTTTCTTTCTTTCTTTCTTTCTTTCTTTCTTTCTTTCTTTCTTTCTTTCTTTCTTTCTTTTTCTTTCTCTTCTTTCTCTCCCTTCCTTCCTTCTTTTCTTCGTTCCTTCCCCCCTCTTCCTTCCTTCCTTCCTTCCTTCTTTCCTTCCTTCCTTCCTTTTCTTCTTTTCCCTCTCTCTCTTTTTCTTTACTGTCCCTTTTTCTCTCAAGGCTAGTGCTCTACCGCTTTACCTATAGCTCTGTTTTTAGCTTAAAAAAATTAATTGGAGATAAAAGTCTCACAGACTTTCCTACCCAGGCTGGCTTTGAACCACAATCTTCAGATCTCAGCCCTGAGTACCAAAGATTATAGGCATGAGCCACCAGTGCCTTGACTATGATGAGAGTTTCTTAGCCACATTGGGGGGGTGGGAATCAGGGGCGGAGTGGGGGGGGGGGGGATTTACTGCAGATATTTATAAAAAGTAATCCCAGAGGAACTGTTGACCTATCTGTACATGTGTCAAACTTTGCTTGGGATTTGAAAATTTTGTTTGGGAGATAAGTGTTTCTTTTTTTGAAGAAAAGACTTTGCACATATCCAAATGAAGATCTACTCAAATCACATGTTAACTCTGTATTTAAACCACTTGCCTGGGAAGTTGAAAACTGACCCTTGTTTCCTGACTTGCCTGTCACCATGGTGTCCATGTTAAAGGACTGTGAACAGAAAATCTCCTCTTATGGAAAAAGTGGCCTGAGATTTTGAAGTAGGTGTTGTTGTTCTTTTTTTTTTTTTCCATTTTTTCTTCAGTGCTGGGTATAGAACCTAGGATCTTGTAAATGCTAGGCAAGCATTCTGCCATTAAGCTACCTATGTCCCAGATCCTTGGCTTGTCTTCTTGATGGAGGCTCAACGAGGAGCAGTAGTTTGATTTCTACTGGTGGTAGGATTTCAATAGAAATATCTTATTAGCTTATTCTTACCCAAGAATCATTTTATAATCAAATCTGATTTTAGCCATGATCTTCTAAAAATTGTCCCTTTAAGGAGCTAATGGATCATCATCTTAGGCAATGGGTTGGAAGCATAGTGCCAGAGTGTCCTGGTGGAATTGCACACCTGCACCTTGTGTTGGATGCTGAGGGCAGAAGATTCATCCAGGGTTCCAGGGACCACGGCTGGACCTGCAGAGAGCTGAGCTGCTGTGTCAGGGGATGTGTTTGGTCAGGCTGCAGCCCTGAACCATTGTTTGGACTTATTCCCTTGCTAGCTCTCGGGTTGCTTGTAGGCCTGGGGAGATGAGCCCTATTATTAGCAGAGACACATACTGCAGCTTAGGATTTCAGCCCTAAAGCCAATGCGGGCACACGAGGGCTCTATAAAAAGCCTGTGTGTGAGAGACTGAGTACTCACACATGCTGAATGGAAATCTCCTGAGCTGCAGATGCGGCCTTGTGCCTCCACACACGAAATAACAGGAGACACTGCCAGTACAAGGAGCGATTTATCTCCAACTTTAGGCCTGGTGTCCCTTGTGTCTTCACTTCTGAATAATATACACTCGACCTATTTCAAGTAGATTCTTGTCTGTAGTCTTTGGGTGGGGGTGTTTGGGAATTATACATGACTAAGTTTCAAATTTGATTACCTCCAACATACACGCATGAGAGTTCCAAAGCATGGGGGAAATGCAGGCAGGTCTCACCATCTCAGACATTTGCAAACTGCCACTTAAATTGGGATTATAGCAGATTGTGGGTGGCTCATGTTTGTAAGCCTACCTACTCAAGGTTGAGATCTGAGGACTAAGGTTCAAAGGTCAGCCCGGGCAGAAATGTCCACGAGACTTTTATCTCCAGTTAACTACCAAACCTCCCCCCCCCCCCCCCCCCCCCAGAAAGTAGAGCTGTGGCTCAAGTGGAAGAGCTCCAGCCTTGAGCTAAAAAGCTAAGTGACAGCACGCAGGCCCTAATTTCAAGCCCCAGTACTAGCGTGTACACTCGTGAGCATGCGCGCACACGCACACACATACACAGACACACGCCAGTTGGGATTACATAGAAAGTTTCCCACTGGAGAAATCCAATTCCACTGAAGACTTCACATCTTTTTTTCTCTTTTCTAAGAGACCTGTTTCTTGGGGGCGGCTTATGAGATTCTTCTGTTTTTCCAGATAGAGACTTTCACCTGGATTCTGTTAAAGCGTGTTAAATCTCACCAAATGGGCTCATGTGTTTCTCCCTGATGTGAATGTTTCACAAGAGCCAAGCCGGGGTTTGTTTTTCTGTCAGCTGATGTATTTTTTCAGGCAAGCGAGACCCTTGAAGAACTTTCTGGATATCACTGCGCATTGTTGGAGCATGCATAGGCCAGGTGTTTGGGGAACAGTTTGTTAAAGCCAATGAGTTTCCCAAATGTGTGGGTTGAGGGGAGGCTCAGTTTCCCTAGGGGCAGTGGTCAGGACTAGCCTGAATGCCATATTCTCTACCACTGAAACTCATGTGAGTACAGTGCTGAGTCAGGAGATGGATGGATGGACTCTTGATTTTGGATTTCTCTAGCTGGTGACAACTCATCCCAGTGACAGGATTGTGCTCTTTGAGCTGGACAAGTCAGTTCTTACTTTCCCTTTTCCTAGCCTCTCTATGCCTGGGACCAGCTTTGGGTGGATGGCAGGTGTACTTAATATGATCATTTCTCAGTCTACGTCTCTTAAAGTTTGAGTCTGCCACGTGCTGGTGGCTCACACCTGTATTCCTAGCTACACACACAAGGCTGAGATCTGAGGATTGCAGTTTGACCAATCTAAGGAAAAAGTCTGTTCATCTCTTAAATCTAGTTAACCAGTGAAAAGCCAGAAATGGAATGTGGCTCAAGTAGTAGAGTGCCTTGAATGAAAAAGGCCAAACAAGAGGGCAAGGCCCTGAGTTCAAGCTTCAGTATTGGCACAAGCTAATACTGTAAATGGACTAAATAAATAAGTAAATAAAAGTTTGGGTTGGACTTGCAACAGCAAGTTTGATCTCTTGGTATTTGAACTTGCTTGGACACCAAGTAGCCCTCTTGTCCTTCGAAAACTCCTAAGACCTGCCTTTTTTCTAGAAATCAGAGAAGAAAATCCCACAGGAAGAACTGGCCACAGCCTCTGTGCTCTCAAGACAGTATGGGGAGAAGGTCCAAGCAGCTGGGTAGAGGACCAGGCCATGTGGTAGGCAAGGCAGTGCCAGAGAAGCCACAGGGTTCCTGTGGATCTTAGCTCTTCCCCCTCCCCCTCCTCCCTCTAGCTGCACAAGTATTTCCAGCCTGGTAGGTAGGGATAAAGATAAAGTCCCAGCAAATTCCAGGTGAATCACACAGCATTCAGCATTCTCATCTTGAGTGGCATCTCAGGAGCACTTGAACATTTCCTCCCTCTGCCTGGAGTCTGGCCATCCCACTGGCCAGGCTTATTCAGATTCTGTGGCTATTTCTTTCTATTCTCTGTCGCTCTCTTCCTTACTCTGTTGTTCCTTTGAGCCATGTCCTTTTACACCAGCAGTTGGTATCTCAAGCCCTGTGTGGACTTAGAGGGAGTCTGTGGTTGTCTGAGGCAAACAGTTTATCTCCCTCCCTACAAAAAACAACTACTTCTCCAGGATTGCCACCTCAACCAATAGCAGTGCTGGCACAGCCTGCTTGCCCTGGACACACCCCTGGCTGGGCACAGGGCCCAGCCCCCATGGTGGTCACGTGATCCCCTCTGGGTGCTGTGAAGCCTCCTCATGGCAGGGTTAGAGATTCCTTTTCTATCTAGTGTCCTGAACCATCAGAGCTCTTTTTTTTCCCCCTGAAGTTTATTTAATTTTTAGAAAAAAAAAATTCCAAATTACAGAAAAATCAGAAGAAACATCTGTGTCCCGTTGTCTTTTATTAACTTCCTGCTGATGTGTGTTCTGTCTTCACAGACAGTTGTTTTTGTATTTTATTCCAAGCCATTTGAAATAATGACAGATATCACGAAACTCCTGAAACTTCAGCAAAGATCTTCCAAGAACAAAAACATTCTTCCATGGGAGGAAAACATGAAGGGGATGTAGCTTAAAGATAGAGGCAGAGAGACTGACTTTCTGAACAGGATTCCATTAGCTCAAGAATTGGCAAATGGGATTGCATCCAATTACAAAGCTTCTGCAAGGCAAAAGAAACAGTGTCCAGAGTGAAGTGATAACAGGCTGAATGGAAGAAAATCCTTGCCAGAAATTCACTTGACACATCATTAATATCTGGAATATATAAAGAAAGAACTCACAAAGTTAAATACCAAATAATCTAATAGATGGGAAAATGAACTGGACAGACACTTTCAGTGAGAAGGTACAAATGTCTGATAAATATATAAAGAAAGTTCTACAACCTTAAATATCAGGGAAATATAAACCAAAACTACACTGGGATTCTACCTCACCCTAGCCAGAATGGCTATCACATAGTAAAAACAACAAATAAGTGCTGGTGAGGCTAGGGGTGTGTGTGGAGGTGAATGAACTCAGCCAGTGCTGGTAGGGATGTAAATTATTGTGGCCACTGAGTAAATCAGTGTGGAGTTTCCTTAAAAGGAAAAACAGACCTCCCGTATGATCCAGCCACACCACTTCTTAGGTATGCATCCCTTAAGAACTTACTATAGAGCAACCTGCATGTCCATGTTTATTGCAGCACTATCACAATGGCCAAATTATGGAATCAGCCGCAGGCCCCATCAGTCATGGAGTATATAGAGAATGAATAAGTGGTATTTATACATAATGGAGTTTTACCTAGCCATCAGGAAGAATGAAATGATGTTTACTGGGAAATGGAAGGAACTGGAGATCAACCTGTTAAGTGAAACAAGACAGTTCTGCAAAGATAAGTATCGCTG